TATCTATTACTGTTACGTTTATATATATATAATTTTTAAATTGTTAGAGTTTATATATATAAGATTTTTGATCGAATTATGTCGATACGATGTTTGCACATTTGTGTGCATGACGCGTGACATTTGTGTTAGTTCGATCTGGTTGCGATGATCGCATTTTTGTGTGAGCAATAATACTATTTTTTGCTTAATTTCTTTTTCTTTGCGATAAATTTTGTTTCGTCCGATTTAGATCTGGTTGCGATGAGCGCATTTCTGCGTTAGCAACATTGTTGGGTTATTTGGCACATTTAAAATTCATTATTGCTTTATTATTATTATTATTATTATTATTATTATTATTATTATTATTATTATTATTATTATTATTATTATTATCATTATTTATTATTATTATCATTATTATCATTATTATTACCATTATTATTATTATTGTTATCATTAATTTATTAAAATTTGTTATAATATAAAAATCTGTTTTTTAAAATAAATAACATTAACATCTTTTCCAAATTAATATGAAAACCTATTATTTTTAAGAAAAACTTTTTTTTAGATAAATTTAAAATAATAACTAAAATCTTTTTTTTAAAATAATAACTAGAACCGTTATTTATTTTATTTTATTATTGTTCAATTCAAATTTCATTATCATATTGTATCTGCTCCTCTCATGTAACCTCGCGAACTTAACAATCGCTCTTTAAATTCTGCCTTTAAATTTCTGCTTGCATGGTTTAAATTATGACATTATCTCTCTGTTTGCATGATTCAATTATCTCACGCGTTTACTATTATTTCTGTCACATTGCACACATCCGAAGGTTAGGTCTAACTGTTTGGCCGCCGCGCCAATAGTCCGTAAAACTTCACACATTCAATTTCAAATCCTCAAAACTACAAACTACAAACCCTAATTTTCACAAATGCCTCGCCGCAGGCAAAATTACAATTTTACCCTTAGCATTAGGTCAAAGAGCCGCCGCGCTCATTTTAGGGTTTCCCGCCGTGGAATCCCTAATTTAACCCTAATTACAACTTAACATTTCAACGTAGAGATTTGGAGTTTCTACACTCCACGTAAGCGTGTCCTTAAGATGCGTTTATTCCCCTTGAGACCTTGACCACAGTCAAGAAGTTTCTAACCTCCCTATTGAGGGGAACTACGATTACTCTGATTCCACTCCCGTAAGGATACGTAGGCACAAGATGCGATGTCTTGCCGAGTAAACTTAGAATTAACCCCCTTTATTATTTATTATTGCTTATTTATATTTTATTTATCTTTGCTATTTAATTATTTTGCTTATTATTTTGTAATTGTTTCTTGGATGTAAAGTTGTTTAATTATTTAATTATTATTATGGTTAGTAATTAGGGAGTGTAACAACATGTATATAATATTAAAATAAATTTAGATCACTTTTAAATAAAGATAATTAAAATAAACACGTCACACACGTAAGTCGATTTTAATCGCCGTCTCACTTCCTAAGGATATCCCTCAAGTTGCCTACGAATAATGGTTAAGTGGGGTGTATAAAGCAAGTCCCTCAAATAAAAAAATCATCAAAGTCCCTTATGGTTGCCTTTACGAATCAAGTCCCTTTCGAAAAATGATGATGGTCCCTTATATGTGCTTATTACATCCCACAATGGCCTTCAAAGTCAAATTGTCCCTCACATGTCCCTTAACATCCAAAGTAAGGACTACCTACTCCATTATAGTAGGGATAGTCTTACTAAAGGAAAGAATAAAGAATAAGAAAGACCTTTAAACATTAGGGTAGGTTACTCCTAGGTGCTTGCTCACTTCAAAACTGTTTCACACTTAAACAAATTTTCAACAAGTTTTCAAACAAGTTCTTAACACATCCTTACATGGATTATTTATTAACTATTCTGAAAATTTTCTATTCACACACTACAAATTTCAAAACAATTCAAAAGTGAGCTTAAGTACCTAAGAGCCCATGGATAACCATGGATGAAAAGGATGCTAATACCTTCCCTTTTCATAACCTACCCCCGGACCCAAAATATTCTCTAAGGTCTTTCCTGTTCTTTTATAACCTTTCCTTATGGATAAAATAAAAGTCGGTGGCGACTCTTGCTATCCGCAACATTGTTTAAAGTCAGTTCTCCCACCGTGTTACAAAGTGGTGTAAGAATAACATTTTTCAAAAAATTATCATATCAATTGTTGCAATTAAATTTATGTTCTAAAATACATTAGTTAAGTAAATAAATAAAATTAAAGTTTAAAATTTTGAAATTCAAAAAAGTTTGTTAATATATTTTTTGATTCAAATTTTTTTGTATTAACTAATGTCTTAATTTTATTTTGTTTAAATGTAGTTTTAGTTTTCTTTTTTTATTTTTCTAAAATTTTAATCTCTTTTTTAAAAAATTAAGTTTTCAATCCCTTATTATGAATATTATTGAGTCTTTTTTGTTCCCCGTTCAGATGTGGCTATGTGACATGTTCAACTGAGGTGGCAAATGAAATGTTGACTAAAGAAGGTGTCATATCCCGATTTTGATCCGACATTTTAAAACTTTCATTCATCAGCTTTTATTTCTGCATTACATCATCTACAAAACATAACATGTCTTCCATCTTGCATACTGTCTAAAATGTCAGTCGAAGTAAAATTATCGGATTTACAGTCAAATCAGTCAAATTAAAACTCAACTGCGCGTAAAATCAGTGTACAAATTTTTTTTAAAATGAGCTTGAAGAGACATGTTTTCTTGGTCTACATTTCATATAGTTCTGACTGGTGTGCTCATTTTATTTTTGATGACAGCTTTCTCAGTCACATTTTGATCAGTCTGAGCCTTTTATCGGTTCCAATTTATTTCAAAATTGGACAAAACGCTGTATTTTTTTAGTAGTTTATTCCGCGCTGATAACTTTAGTGTAGTTATTTTTTATTTTCGAGAATTTCAGTACCCGACTTTATTTAGTTTTGGTCATTTTATTATAAAATTTTAGATAAAATAATTTTTTAATTTATTTAATTAATTAGGATATTTTAGTTCACATGTATCTTTTCTTTTCTTTTAAAATATATAATTTAAAAAATATTTTTTTTATCTCTTTTTAGTTAGACTTGTGTATTAAGTTTTTAAAAGCATCTTTATTTTCACAAAAAATAGTAACACCATATACTAGACTATGTGTGTTATGTTGTTGATAGAGGAGATAAGTATCCCACACGACATTACTTGTGAGAGTTGAGTTTTTTGAAATTCAAAGAAAAAATTAGAAAGAATAAAAAAGGGTAGCACATGCCACTTCTTTTGGTGGTTCCCCCCCCCCCCCCCCCCCACCACCACACACACACACACACACACACGCACGCACACACGCACGCACGCACACACACACACACGCACCCACGCACCCACACCCACACCCACACCCACACCCACACCCACACACACACACACAAACACACACACACACACACACACACACAGGCTTAATTGCAACTTTGGTTCCCCTATTTTGTATTTTTTTGAGTTTTGATCCCCCCATTTTAAAAACCATGTTTTTGGTCCCTTTTTTAGGTTTCAAGATTGATATTAGTCCCCTTGTCATTTTAAGTCATGTTTTTAATGAGGTGGCGCGTTGAATGATGATGTGGCATTTCCATTTCAGGTAAAATGGTCTTTTTAATTTTAATATCATTTTCATGTCATTAACTTAAATATTATTTTATTTTCAGAAAATTAATAAAATAAAACTTAAATGTAAAACCCCAACTCTGTCATCTTCAACCCATTTTAACGAACGAACGAACGGTGAAGCTTGGCGTTCCCCCTTCATCTTCAACCCATTTTAACAAACGAACGAATGGTGAAGCTTGGTGTTCCCCGTTCACGAACGAACAAACCCATTTCTTCAAACCCAGTTCCATATCAAACCGCAGCTCGCTTCCCGTCGTCTCTGAAATGGCAAACCGAAGTTACATATCGAGGTATGTTTTGTAACTCACTTCTGAATACAAAAACCCTAAACACGAGAATGGCGTTTGTGTTCTATCATAGCATATGATTTGTTTATACCAACTTCCAGTTTCATCTATGGTTTAATTCAGAAACTGTCGTTTGTGTTTTGTAGGCCCTCTGATACCCAAGCTGTCAGATTTAGAGTACACCATAGGAGACATTTAATTCAGAATCTAGTTCTGTTGTATGTTGATGGGCTTGTAACTGAAATGAATTGGGATTGGGATGTGGACTTGATGTCCTACATGCAAATTGAAGATTTGATCAAGAGTGAGGGATATCGTAATATAAAGTGTTTATGGTATTGGAATCCTAATTTTTCCTTTTCTCGTGGACTTTAGCCTTTTAACAAGGATAATGATGTCTTAAGGTTAATGGAGGATGTTAGAGGATTTAAGGTAGTTGATCTTTATGTTGAACACAAAGTTGAAGAAATAAGTATTGAGGATGTTATTTTTGAGGAGGATAATGGTTAAAAAGGCAATGGTGAAGGAGCAAATGATGAAGTTAATGTCGAGGGAGCAGATGATGAAGTTAATATCGAGGGAGCAGATGATGAAGTTAATATTGAGGGAGCAAACAATGAAGTTAATGTCGAGAGAGCAAACAATGAAGAGGTTAGTGTTGATGGAGTAGATGAAGAGGTTACTGTTGATGAAGTAGATGAAGAGGTTAGCGTTAATGTTGATGACGTAGATGATGAGAGTGAAACAGATCCAAATTATAGCATGGGCAGTGAGGATGACGAGGAAGAGGATGAAGATTTGGAAGATGAAATTGATGTGATGAATTTAGGTGTTGATGCTAGTATTAATTGGAAGACCATTTTACCTAATGCTACAGCAAAAAAACCTTCAAAGTTGGATGGTAATTCCTATAATGGTAGTGATTTAGATGTGCTTTAAACTCCACCCGGTAGTGATGCTGAAGGTGATACGGCAAAGTTTCCAATATTTAGGGAACCCACAAAATTTGAAGTAGGGATGATGTTCAAGGATAAACAACAAATCAAAGATGCCATAAAGGAGTATGCAAATAGGGCAGCAGAAGGATGGATTGCAACATGGCATGCAGATGATGATTTTGCTATATTTGGAGTTTCAAACGGTGTTGAGACATATGTTGTGAGCTTGCTTCAACAGAAATATGGTTGTAGGAAGTGGGATTTAAGTGGAATACCATGTTGTCATGCTATTGCATGCATATGGTATAATAAGAAGGATCCCGAAGAGTACGTTTCATCATTCTATAGGTATCACCTACTCGTATATTATGTTTATTTACATTAATCTTTTTTGTACGTTTACTAAAATCATTGTGTCATATTGTCTAGGAAATCTACTGTTCTGGCTACTTATAGCCATATCATTATGCCAACCAATGGCTTGTTAATGTTGCTAACCCAATCAGCCCTCCAGTCATGCGAAGATCTATCGATCGTCCTAAGAAGAATCGTAACAAGGCGAATGATGAACCGAGGATAAGAAATACACTGCCTAGAACTCTTCAAACTATCAAGTGCAAGAAATATGGGAGTTTTGGCCATAACAAACGAACGTGTAAAGGGAAGCGAGCTGCGGAGAGAGCGATTTCTAAAGGTGGCAACAAAAAATCTAAAAAAAGGGTGACAAGTCGGGCAAGGAAGCGGGACAAACTGTTATAGATGGAGGGTCGCAAGCACCGCCACCAACCCAAGAATAGTTCTATGTTTTGCTTTAATTTTTTTAATGCTGCTATAGCATATGTTATGACCAAAAAACTCAATGTCTTTTTGTTAAAATATGTTGTCTTTAATGTTTCCTTCAATGTAATGATACATCAGTCTTGATACATCAACCTTCAATGTTATGTTATGTAATGCTGTTATATAATGCTGTTGTTTGATATGTAAAGTTACAATGCAGTACTGTTTATACATCAGCCTTCAATGTTATACATCAGTTTGTTATTACAATGCAGTGTTGTTTATACATCAGTTTATTATTAGAATGCAGTGTTGTTATGATACATCAGTGTTCAAAGTAGTGTTGCCTATTATGTAGTTCTTTTAAGGTTTCAGTTTTTGACAGAACTGAACTAAAATGGCTGTTATGTAATAAACTGCATTGGTAAAGTTATCAACACTGAACTAAACTGGTTGTTATGTAATAAACTGCCTGTTATGTAGTTCTTTTAAGGTTTCAATTTTTGACAGCACTGAACCAATTGTAGTTTTGACAACACTGAAATAAATTGTCTGTTATGTAACCCAATTATAAGTTAACAAGTTAACAAGTTTCAAAATACAGAATTTGCGTATAGTATAGTACTAATTATGCATAAACTAGAATATGGCCAAGCGAAGTTATAGATTTCACTTTTTGTGATTAAATTAAGGACTAAGCAGCAAGGATCTGGTGGGCTGCACTTGAGGAAAGATCCGGTGAACCTATGAATAAGTTAATGACCACAAGGACTAAGCAGCAAGGATATCATGTTGTAATGGTAGAAGAGGAAAATACTGATAATTTGTGAGTTACTACTTTGACAGGCATTTTGGATGATACATATGCACTTTGTAATGCTCTTAAAGAATCATTGACCTCCTTGCTTAACTTGATGGCAACTTATAAGGAGGAAGATGATTATACTGTGCTCTCTAACATGATATCAGTAATGCTATCTTCCCAATATTGCTCATTAGTTACATAGGTTATTTATTGGATATACTTTCAGTTCTCTTGTTTTACAAATAAGTTATAAAGTTCAAAGTATTGCAGCTGATGCAGTTCCAGACTTACTAGATTATTTCAAACAGTTTTCTATTAATGTTCTCCAGTACTCTGCAGAGTAAAGTTGGTTTTTATCTACAGAGTAAATTCTGTTATGTAACCTGTTATAAGACCATGTTATGTCACCTGTTATGTAACCCAACACAAATTATCCAATACAAATCTGTTTCAATAAAACTGTTATGTAACCTATTATAAGACCCTATTATGTCACCTGTTATGTAACCCAACACAAATCTGTTTCAAACTGTTTGCACATAAAATCTGTTTCTAATTTAAAATCAGTTTCAAACTGTTTGCACATAAATTCTGTTTCAAACTGTTTGCACATAATACAAGGTTATGCTCCATAAACATCATTTGAAGACAATCAAAGTAACTACAACATAACTCTTCATTAACACAGACAATCATAACTCTTCATTTGAAATTAGTTCATTTGGAAACTACATAAACATCAAAGTAACTACAACATTTGACATTACATCATTTGAGTACATGTGTTGCAAATAATGCAAACACAATTAAAAAGACAAACATCAAAGATAACCCCACAAAATAATACGTAAACCTAATTTTCATCTTCACCAAATCTTCAATTTTCTTGATGTCCTTAATCACATCCATGAGCTCCTCATTCTTATCTTTCAAAGATCTTATCACTCTTTAGCACGACTGCTCATGTCTTCATCAACCCACTGAAAGTAATTACATCCTTTTTTCCTCATCACCTTAAAATTACCACACCCATGAAATCTTCTTCCGGGATTACCGTATGTCCATGACGTCATCAACGGTGACTCAAGCTCACACCAACATCTATTACCTTTTCTTCTTATACCAGGCCCAGACTGGTTTGTTGAGGAAAAAGAAAAATTCGTTTCGGACATGTTGGTAAGTAGGAGGCACGTTGGGTTCGAAATTAATGGCTAGAGAAAGGCTGGTATGGGTTTGTTGAGGACATGAGGACTGTGTTTGAAGAAATGACCACAGAAATGACTGAAGAAATGAGTTGTTCTTCGTGAAAAAATAGGGGTTGATGAATGGTTGAAGAAATGGGTTGAAGATGAAAGAGCTGGGGTTTTATTAAGTTTTATTTTATTAATTTTCTGAAAATGAAATAATATTTAAGTTAATGACATGGAAATGATATTAAAATTAAAAAGACCACTTAAACTGACATGGAAATGCCACATTATCATTCAACGCGCCAACTCATTAGAAACATGACTTAAAATGACAAGAGGACTAATATCAACTCACTTTCTATTTGAAAACACACCCTTCAAAACAATCTCCAATGCCATCCATATTTGACTTCATATTCACTCCCTCAGTCCATAACTATATTCACTTAAAATCACCATGGGAAACTTCTCATAACCGATCTGCACCACAAGAACACGATGCGCTCTGATTTTTCACAGTTCCATTGTGCTTTGTTTGTTGCTTTTGTTGTTTGGTTTTGTGCGGTCGATTGCAGGTTTGACGAGATGACGATTCGGTAAATTCTAGGGATGGTATGCTGCTATGCACCATCATCTCGCCGTGCACAGCAACAGCCGCACCGACGTCACGCTTTCAGCTACATATTCGCCACCACTGAATCATGAAGTCGCAGTGATATCAACACGGAAAGTGCAACAATGCTTTCTTCATATTTCAATCAGCAACTCAGCGGTAGCATTCGCTATGTCGTTTCCGTTTATGATTGTTGGAATCTTAGCATTCGCAATGACATCGTTAATGTGTTTTGGTTTTCATTTATGATTGTTGGATTTTGCTGCTGATTTGGTTGATGTTTATTAAGCATTTATCAGATTCAAGCTAAATTGGTTTTCGTTTTCGTTTACGATTCAGTTGTGATTCAATGTGGATGCTGCTTCTGTTTCATTTTGAATAGTATGATTGAGTGTCTTCGTTTCCTTTAGCATTAAATTCTGCCAGATTTTGTTGTGATACCTCTAAATGCATTGCATTTGGTTTTGATGTAAGATTGCATTGTCCATGTCCATGTGTATCAGTTTCCTATTGAGTAGTTATGTTGCAAATCTAGTTCTATGAAAATGATGAACAACATTGGCTAAGATTGTATATCCATTTTACGGAAAGTTTGAAAACTCATCATTATTTTTCTATTTTTTTTTCTATCTATTAGTAATGTGCATTTTTTCTTTTTCTATTAGTATTGTGCATATCAGTTATTCTTTAATCTTGTTTCAAAATTGCCATGATAATCTAAAATTGTTGTTATTCTTTTACTTGTTGGTTCATCAGTATGGATTTATTATTTTAGTTTGGATTGATAAAAATGATTTTGTGGGGTGTAATGAAATAGATTTAGATTCATGTATAAAATTGTATTAAAGTTGGTTCCTCTTACTATTTTATGTTTATTATTATTAAAAATAAGTTTTTCCCCTTAAATTAGAATTAGAATTGAATTAAATTTGGGCTTTTAATCACATAAGAGATGAGATCGGTTTCGTTTTTTTCCAAACTGGAAAATGAAAAACAATGTCTTAATAATATACATACTGAAAGAGTTTTGTTTCAAATCTTGTACGTTTCATTTTCAATATATATATATATATATATATATATATATATATATATATATATATATATATATATATATATATATATATATATATATATATATATATATATATATATATATATATATATATATATATATATATATATATATATATATATATATATATATATATATATATATATATATATATTAGGTCCATTTCACCAAATTGCACACTTCAAATGAAGATTTTTCCAACATAAAACTTGCTCCAAATGGTGTTATTTGCTTGGTCAAGCATTGAGAAGTCATGGTTTATGCTTGGAATGAAGATTGGATATGTGAATTTTCATGGAAGATGGATTAAAAGGGCAAAATGGGAATTACTTCATTATTGATCAATTTGGTGCAAATAAGTGCATTTTTTTGAGTGCAAACAACATTTTGAACACATTGGCAATTTTACATTTTGAATTTAAGGTGTGTAAGTGAGCCATTTTCAAGGTTTCTTCACTATGAAGTTACACAACCAACATGAGCCATTGAGATCAATTAAGGTCTTAATCCTGACCATTCATACTCCATGTGGTACCAGCAAGCTGTTTCAACCATTTTGGAGCCATTTTGAGTGCATTTTCGTGTACATGAAAGCTTCAAAAAACTCAATTCCTTGGATTTTGGTATGGGCTGTTAGAGGCTGAGTTTGGGCTCAATCATCATTAAGATTCATCATATATAAAGTTTTCAACCTTCACAAATCATAAGAAGTGGAAATTGGAGCCAAATTGATCAAGTTCAGTTTTGAAAAAGTGGTGGAATTTCAAACTTCGAATTTGGAGATTGAGGACATTTCAAGCAAAATTGTGAATTGAGAAAGCTCTAGTGAAGTTTATTGAACGATTCTGGACAATTATCTTCAAGCTTGAGCTCCATTTGAAGGCTCAGTGGAAGTTCTCCACTAGGTAATTGAAATTCAACTTTACACTCTTGATAAGCATCAATTCACTGCCATTTTTGCATATTTGAGACGTAGAATCAATGTAGATCATTAATATGTAAAACGAACTGGCATTGGTTGTGATTGTTGGATGGTGCTCCAAAATGTTTGAATCTGTTTTGGCTTGTTTATGCGTGTTTTTGCTTGTTTATTGATGGATCTGTAACCTACGTGAGC